GTAGTCGAGTTTTTTTCAAAAGACAGACAGAATACAGTCGTTGTCAATAAAAATGCCAAAGCGCATGCTACGAGCATATCCTGAAACATGTTGGAATTAAAACCGCACTCTTGTTTATGTGATCTGATGGGTTGAAAGAGATATACAACTAAGAACTGCGGTTCTTCATCAGGGAATCGTGATAGAAATTAGAGGTGATGAAAAGAAGAGTGTGTGTGTGATGTGATGTGCTCATGTACACGTACATACAGCCCATGTCAGAAGGCTGTAGAAACTGTATCAAAGCAATATATGTCGGCTTGGTCATTGCGAACGGTGACTTTATAGACAACCGAGCAGGTGTGTCAATGACCAACCCTTGTGGTTGCATTGAACCTGGTGAGTACCATCTGCTGTTCTCTAGAATTGTTTGAACAAGCTCGCACCATAGAGGATCAAACAAACATAGTTCACTGGAATAGTGAATGGCTACCTTCATATCTATTAATATATCATTGTGAAGGGCAATAGCTATACGACTAAAGGAAAGTACTCAGATGATCGGCAACTAAGTCACTTTCTGGTACGTTATGAAAGAACCCAGAAGATATGAAGCGAATAACGACAGTATTAAAATTAACTGATCCAATGCTCCATGAGCGATTTGTATATAAACCATATCCTCAGAATTGGATCTCATAGTATTTACTTCCAGCAAGTCAAAAGTGATGTTTAACTTCAATTAAATGCACTTCTTTTCTAAAAGACAGTTAGACTTCCACACAAGGAATCTCCAAAAGTTAATGTGTTACTCTGTAAACTACTACACCTACCCGACGGCCAGCTTTTGCAAAACGTCGAAATTCCGTTTATAAGTTGCTGTCATAGGCTCGAACTCCATTTATGTATGTATGCTCATTCAATTGAAGGACGGAGGTGGTGTTACAGCAAGTGGCGCACTATCTCACCCGCACGGTCGGGGGTTCGAATCCCGGACCTAGGCCAACCAAGCCTTCCATCTTCCCGGGGTCCCGGGGTCGGTGAAGGATAAAATATGATAAAATCACTGAGTTGTGAATCGGCTGGCCACCGCAAGTCATTGTGTGGGTTATATACGCATTCAATCCGCCACTACGATTCTGAATGGAGTTCGAATGCGGAGGCGCATCCCTCAGAAGGGATTGATGAATGCCAAAAACTTTATCCTTTATCCATTCAAATAGGAAAAGTTCGATCACCGGAGCTCGAGTGATAGCCTTGAGTCACAATAAAAGTGAGACAGAAAGTCGTCTCCTGCTGATGAGTTACCTCTAATACTGGTTCGCTTACCCATCGCAATGCGGATTATTTTCATTTATACTTGTTATTATTATTTATTATATTTATGTTTATTTTATATATATATATATGGATGTAATGCTCTGAAAAATTGTTTCCTCCAACAGGAGCCTAATCTACAACAAATATAGCAACGGTGTTTACTTACAAGTTACCCAACTACTTACCAGGACTTGGAGCCGTTTCTTATTGAACAGGTGAATAATGCTTCCCAAAATGCTATGAAAAAGCTAACAAAGGTAGAAGAACTTCATGTTCATGGTGTTCTTTGTCTCCGAGCCCAATTGGGAGAGAGTAGAAATTTGAGCTGGTTGTGGTACTCACCGTCTTGAAACCCTCGATCATTGTTATCTTCGCTGCAGGTTCGGCCTATATGGTTTGGAAGGGCCAAATGAGACCCGGGGATCGATCGACAGGCTAATTAGGTTATTCTATCAGAGCAAAAGAGATTATTCAAAATAAATATTAAATTGATTAATGAGTTAAGAGAAGTCAAGCTCATCAGTATTTAGTGGCTATGGAACTTAGACTACGTTAATGGAAGTTTCAAAGATAATGAATATATTTGCTGTATTATGAGTGTCGACCAGAGATAAACCACTAAATTTTACACCTGAGGGGTGAGCACTTAAACCAGATGATCCTTTCTTTACTTTTCTTGCTGTTGAATAGATTAAGCGCCTCATCACTGGGATGCTCATGGCGGTTAAGTATTTCTACTAAAAATTTCCCGATAATATCCATGACCATGCCCGTTACCCATTCCACCATAGCAAACTAAAACCGCCTGTCCGTAACCACACTTACACGGATGCTCTACCACGACAGCATGCATTTGCTTGCTGAGAAACTTGTTGACTCTGTTACCTTCAACGATCATCTGAGAACGTTCCTCTTTCTCAGACTTTGTGGTATCCCTCTGAACACATCTCATCGGAAACATTTTTTGGCAGTAGGGTTCCAGATNCCATGTTTCGAGAAAGTTCCGAAAAAAGAACACAAATGGATTTTCCACAGCTCCGTCCACTAGTAAGAAGCCACTAGTAAGGGGACATTAAAGTATACAACCTCATGGATTTGAAAATCACACTTGTAAAGGAACAAGGCGAACGAATAAAATCGTTTCAGAGCTGACGCGATATGAGCAGGCGTGATTGTTAATTTGACGCAGTCTTTGAGATCAGACGACACTTGTTTCTTCCCATTTTCTCAGTCTTCCGAAGCTTCTCATAGCGTAGTAGGCCTTTGTAGCTTGTAAAAAAGATTCCGTGTCCTTCATTTCAGAAATTGACTAGTCAGTGGGATTACCGTGGGTACCATTGTCTCCCTTGTTGACTTCTTTCACATATTCTTTCTCTACTTCTTCAATCACGCATGTTTTCAATGCCCTCGATGTCAGTGTGTAAACGACCAAAACCGTCAAAGGCAACGTCAGGCTGTAACCATTTTGAATCAAACGATTTAGAAAGTTGTTTATCGTAATAGTCGATGAAAACGGTTGTGTTCTTGTTAACCGGATCACAGGCATCTTCGAGCAAAGTGGGCGAGCAAAGTGGTGAACCAGATTCACTTTGTCATTAGCATCGCACCATGAGCGGCATCTTCTCCTATCTGTCAGTCTGATACCTACGCTTGCAAAACCTTGAGTCTCGGGGCGTAAATCATTCCCGTCTGAGGGATGCACCCATGCATTCGCCTTTTATTCAGAATCGTAGTGGCGTATTGAATGCGATAGGCGTTATCCTACATTTGACAAATTGCTTTTGAGGTAAGCGTTCTTGCCTTGAAAGTGCCATGTTTAGATTTGCGGTCTGTCTCCTATCGAAATTCTTCGATTTTACTGCTATGTCACGGAGCTAATAATGCTCATCTACCTTCCGAAGAAGGGATATATCTCAGCTGCATGCCGACATGTTTCACCGAAGAATAGCTATGATTTTGTTCAATCTTAAGCCTTGCGAAGTGATAGCTTAAGTCGTTGGAGTATTAACGAAACCAGCCCATTCCATTATCTTTTTCCATCGCAATGAGACAAGAGTGGATTTTTTTTTCCACAGTTAGTCGAGACGTCTCCGAAGGCTTTTTTGCCGAAATCAATTTATAGTGTGATTTCGAAGCTTTCTGTTGAACCAATGCAAATTTTCCTAATTGAATCTTCTCTTCTCAACATATCGTTGAGCCTTTCTTTCCATCCTCGTCTTGGTCTTTCCACGGTGGCATCCATCACAGAGATTCCGTGATTCTCGCGCAACTGCTATCCTCACAAAAGGCGATAAGCAAAAAATGGTGAGTATCTTTAGTTCCATACCCGAGCACAAATCCGGCCAAAAGTAAAAAAAATAGAAGCGAATGGGGAAATAAGGCTGAAAAAGCTTCCAAGCGATTTATTAAGTGACGTAAAGGTTTGAGAGAGAAGCCTTTTTCGGAAAGTCGAGTCGCATTGGTTTCAAACTGGCTTGAAATCTAATTTGAAAAAAAAGTCGCACAATAGCGAAATATTCTGAAGAGATAGTGACTAAGCAAATAAACAATTGTTTCCTTTCTTACATGAAGAACGAAGCTGGTCTGGCTGGTTTCCATCAAACACCACTCATTTCGCAAGCCCCAAATTCAACGCGATGCGTAGCTACCCTTCAATCAAAACATATCATTTTGTAATGCATATAAAAAGCTTATGAATGGTGAACCTGGGAAAAGCATAATTGGAACCTCCTTAACCGAAAAAATATGTCGGAAAGGGCAGAACTTATAGTAGCGAAGTTGCTCCTACTCAAAGCAAAAGATTTGAGCTTCTCCCACTCATGTAAATGGTCAATCTCATTTAGTTACGCACTTAGACATCTAAACAGTTCAATGCGTCCATATACCCTTACTGGGTCCGACCTGAGTGAATGAGGCCGTTTTTCTGATTTTTTAATTTTTGATTATTCTATTTTTATTATGAAATTTTCAAGGTACTAGCAGTCTACGACGACTTTGCGTTATTTCTTACTTTTTTCAGGTGAACTTCAGTGTGACTTATCAGGCATTGGGTCCATTTCTTGAAGGAAGCCCAAACGACTGGGCACCTCCCAGTCACAAATGAGCTTTAATCGGCCTACCAGGTCTCATCAAAAGCAGTCTGAGGCAAATAAAATCACGAAATCGTTGAATCCAATCCTCAATCAAGTTATATGTATTGAGCAACAAATTATTAGAATAGCTGTACAGATATATAATACATGAGAAGAGGTCGAATCACATACTTAAAAATCACATGCCATTTTCGGGTAGTTGGAGATTGCGATGAAAGGCTTTGAAGACTAGGCAACTCATGACCGGGAATTTGTGCATATGGCGCCGAAAAGAATTTTGTGGCCATAATTCTGAGATGAAAGCGATTTGTACGAGATTCGGAACAGATTCAGAACACAGTATAGAATAGCTGAATAAGAAACACAGCACAGAGAAGTAGACAGGGGGAAGAAATCGTCGTTGAAGATACATGACCGTGACCGTGGCTGCTGAAGTCGGTTGGCAACGAGGTAATCGAGTTGTCTCCTGGGGCGGGAGGAGAGGGTGTGGGCTGAATAGGATTGAAATAAAAGAAATTAATTATCTTTTTTGATCCTCTCTTTCAGTGCAGGTACATGATTCGAATGCCTTAAAAGATTTCTTATTTGAAAAGTTGCGCTGCCCGCAACTCAGAACGCTACCTGTCCATGAGGAGTAGCCACCGTCTCGGCCAGCAATCCATAGCATCTTTCTGAACACTCTCCTCGAGCTGATTCCGCTTCGCATTCCGATATAAACACACCCCACTTCGAGTTGCACTAAATTCAAAGGTTGAGTGGGTTGGAAATGAACGCGAGCGAATGGGTGTGGTTACTGCGGTCACGAACTTGCCTCAATTACCCATGTATATCGGGTTACATTGCGAACGCGCTAGAGAAACCATTGTCGGCGATACTGATACTTTTCAGCTATAGTACACTGAGGTACTATTAGGAATGTCACAAGAAGGTGCTGTTTCGTTAAGCAGCTGTGACTTCAAACAATTCTGAGTTTCAATTCTGAGCCTATACACAGCCCTATCTGGGCCGCTTTACGACCTGACAGCGCCCATTTCGTAACTTAAAAGCATTATTAGGTTGTTTATTCGATGCTAAGGTTTGGTCTCACTGCGTCAATACGTTAATCTCTATTGCTCCCTCCACTTCGTTTGAATTTCAGGTCGGCGAGGCATGTCGCCGACCACTCTCGTCCATGCGGGCGATTTGTTTGATTAGCCACCTATAGCAGCTGATGTGAAACACAATAGCTTTCGAAGATCCAACGACTCTACAGCGCTGAAACACTTTCTTCTCTCGTATTTGTTTCCCGAAGGTGAAAAGCTTTTAGTTCTGACGTGCGAACGATTTCGGGATCTCAAGTCCAAGGTTGTCGGCAGCGCACGGAGTGGGGAGGAGCAAAATGGACATTCGCTCTGAACGATAAGAGCAGTCGTTCCTCGTGAAGTTGGATCAAAGCAAGGTGAATAACTATACTGTTGAGTCTTTTAGATATGTTTATTTACTCGTTCACAACCTGAACGCATTGTGAGAGGCGAGTCTTTTGAGCAAGACCGCGGTCAGTCTGGACTCGATAGGGTTGGTAGACGCCTGTGTTTGTTCAGCGGAGGGTGCGCATTTATTTTGAGGACCATTGTTTTTTTCAAATCGTATCGTAGTCGAATCAACTGCAAAATAACCTGTAGGTCTGCTTCACAAGCCAACTTCGCCAAACTGCAATGTACCAAAGGTGCTGCTGGAAGAAAATGGCATTGCTTGAGTTCCTCTCTGCCAGGAATACACGAAGCGTCAGACCTGAAATCTCTTCAGTCGGTGATACGATCAATGGGGGGTATCGATCCTCATAAAAGACATTCAAGGTACAGAGAACTATGCCTCTACGGTATGTTCTGGGAGTCTCACCCTTCATACTGGGCCAAGCCAACCACAAAGTAGTTTCGAACAAAATTTCAATCAAAGAGAATTTTTCAAGGAATTCCATCGACATTATCATGCTTATCAAATAAGCAAACTGTTGAACAACAAGTCAATAGTAGAAGGTACAGCTCACGGTAAAAATGGCTTATGAGATATCCCGCTAGGGTGAATTTGTAGCCTCATCATACACTATAACAAGTGGCGCTGTCAGGTAGGAAAGCGGCCTAGATAGGGCGTTGTATAGGCTCAAAATTGTACCCCTTCCATGTCATTCCTGTCATGGTACTCGTGCAACTGCTATTTCCACTACTTTCAAGGAGCCTTTTTATGCGAAGTCGGCAAATTTTCCCCCGTCTTTAACCACTGATGCACTATCCCTTGCCTATACTCCCGCTTTTCGACTCAAAAGGGATACCTCAATATCATCATAAACAGTGTCTGCAAGCCGTAGGTATTGAAATATATAAATATATGAACTATCCTGTACTGACCTCAGTAAAGTTCGACCAAGTTTATTTTGGTAGACGTTCAGAACAGCATTCCGACATTGCGGCTGGCAGGTGTTTGTCGTACTGAAACAGAGTGTTGGTAGTGTCATATTTATTTGTTTTCAAACAAGTTTTCTCATCCAAGAAGGTTCTCCAGGGGACTGAGCCATTCATCATTTTTCACGACGGGTAGTGAAATGCCTTTTAGGGGTTTTTTCAATGAATGAAAATGGAACAGTTTACCGAGTTTCCTAGCAAAATCTCATTCGAGGCGGGGTACCGGAAGTCGAGGCAGATTCTTGGGCTTTCCGGAACTTTGATACAAATTCTCTAACTCCCTCGAGGCTGGCTAACTTCCCAATTGGCTGACCAATTTCGGTACGAGGATTACCTTTATGTCCCATTGCGATGCTTGTAATTCTTTGTAGCCAATTTCTTTGTTGTTCGACTAACGATTATTTTACTTTCAAATATATTGAATAAAGAGAGTTAGTGATCTTCACGTTCGTACTAAAGCCTGAATTGATCGTAGTAGATTTCTACGCTTTTTGAAGACTGAACAACTCCTTTATTTCAGATTCTGTGTAACTCTGTCACTACTCGTGGACAGCAACAAATCTCACGATATGGATCCTCGTTTTCCCTCTAGAGTCCGCTTTTTAACTGCAGAAAGACAGTCTTCCAAGTTAATATGCAACCTCCAACGCTTCCTTGTTCTGCTTCGAATAACTCTTGAAAAGGAATTACCGCAGTTGTAGTTATGCCTGTCTTACTGGCTAATGAATGCTCAGAATCCAAAATCCAAAGGAAAGATTGGCGAAACATATACATCAAGCTTAGTCTTCCCACTTGAAGAACTATTAAGTTCGACGCAACAGGACAGCCTATGGCGATTATCGCACTGGAGAATCGTAGCTAATTTATAGCCATGATTAGTGGAGGTGTTTAAGCGTCCCATGCACCAGAACCAGATCCACCATCCGGGCTGCTGGACCAGTGAGTGTGTCGCTCCGTCGGATTCGATGAGGTATTTTGCTATTGTCGTCACGGAGTATGACGCACTTTATGGGGTGCATGATAAGTGGGGAGAACAGGCGATTGCGACGGCTTTGACCAGATGAGTCCGTCTAAGCCGACCTCAATCCATGCGAAATCACAACCGTTTGATGACCGAATGTATTCATCATGTAGTGGAATGGCAGGATTTGGATGACAGCACCACTTTTACTGTACAGAGTCAACCAACCAGTAGCTCTCTTTTACATTTGTAAAGGAAATGTTCCACTTGGTACTTCCTCGAAGTGTTTTTCTGGCCATACTGGACAAATGTAAAGCTCGATTGTTAGTTTGTTGAGGTTCCAACAAAGCAGTGATCATTCGAATCCCACACAGGTATCCCCCATTGAAGTGTTCCACGAGATTGAATTTCCGGAACCGAAACAGATAGGTAACTCTTCTAATTCACAAGTAAATCGCCCGGTCAGAGTCAAATAGGTTTTGGGATGTATGATGATACTAGTGTAGGCGTCGAATGATCACTTTAACTACTTACGTTTACCCCTTCCTATTCACTTTCACGGCGAAGGCATCGGATATATATAGAAATTCTGCTAGTCAGGAAAGTATTGAAACATCTAAATAAACTATTATATCATTAAATTATTGCTATTATTATTATATTATTATTAAATTAAAATATTATTTTAAGAAATTAACAATTTTTGTTATCTATTCTAAAATATTATTTCAAGAAATTAACTATTTTAGTTATCTATTCTGTCATACTATACTTGATTTTTTAAAACAAGAGCTCTGTCATTTGTGCATTATTAAATTAAATTAAATTTAAATTTCCCGTAATATAATTTCCCCAGGTGCAAAATTGCCAATGTGCCTCAGAAATGGTTAAGAGAGTGGTCTTCTCGGAACATCAGAGAACTGATTCTCCTCAGCGGCATTTCGGCGGACTCAATCGCTCGACAACTTGCGTAACAGCAACGCTCGCTGGCATTACACCAACTTGCCGGTGTCTCAACCCTTGCTAATGCGCCTGAAATCTTTGTAAGTAAAACTGATCTTATACTCGCACGAAGCCTGCCGAGTGAAAAAGAGGATTGCGTTTTTTCAGGCGAGAGGTTTGCCAGGAAAAAATACTAACAAAATTTCTCTAAAGTTTTTGAAAAACTCGGCTTTATTTCACATTTCAAATCGATTCTTTAGTAGCTGGCTTCGATAAAACGCTAAATTAGCAATAGACTATGATACATTTAGTCAGGACTTTGATAAATGAAGGGCAAATCTTTAGATTTCCCCCAAACAGGTCGCCTTTTCCGAACAGATCGACATCCCCTCGTCCTTTTTCTTTTCACTACATTTGAGAGCCAGTCAGAGGCGTTAGGCGTGAAGTCAAGTGCCCTTAGCCCAAGGGCACCAAAGAGGATTACAGGAGCCAGTTTGCGCCGTCGTCGGTCCTTACTATAGGACGACGACCAACACGAATTTCTCGTGTCATTTCACCTCCGTGCCGACCTTAATCTACCGTTAGGCTAAGCGCATCGGAGTAGTCATTTGAGAACCGGATACGACCTCGAAACATGGTTAGACTCATTTGAGAGCTTACAGGAAGGGTTTTTTTGTTGCAGAGGCTAGGTACAGGAAGTTGAAAGGGATTCTACAAAGGATTGGAGCAGCTGTGTAACAGTACAATCACCTTTATATGTTAGTGGCTTTTGGAATCATGGACTATACGGTCGAACAATGGCAACTGATATTGTGAGAAAAAGTGAAAACCCATTTATGAACTGAAAAAAAATTATCGAGGACTTTTTTTTAAGTAAATTAGTGAGAAGATGACCATCACTTTAACACCACACCTTCCAGATGGCATTCCATCTTCATCAGTCCTTATCCACTGTCTGGAGGATTACTAGAGACGATCAAATAGCGGAGTGAGCAACTTCTATGCATACCTGAATTACCTTTTTGGTGGCTCTACTCTCAGCCGAAGACGCTCTTTTCTCCTAGCTGATTATTATTTTCTTTATCGGCACTTGGCTGACAGCACAATGGCCCCTCTGAACGGTTCTATCAGCGACTCATTACAAACGTTAGAGACCGAGCCCTTACGACGTGCTTTAAGTCCCGCTAGTAAAAGTACAAACAATCGCGGATTTGCAGCTTTCAAAGATACCACTCATCCCGTAAGCCGTGTCACCAAACACTTATAAGTCACGATCACTTGAGAGCCTACGCTGGTGGTTAGCATTCCGATCCCATGCCCCCGCTAGGTGACCCTTCACATTCACACGCATCACCACTCCAGTGATGGATAATATTGGTCGTTTGACAAGCCAATCAGTTAATCAATCCATTTGATCGATGGTCCTTTTCCCAACAAAATATGTTTGGACTGGCAAATTGGATCGCTTTGGTCACATAGTAGAAGAAAAGAGCTCGCACAGGGTTGCAAATGATCGATTGAGTTTACAGATATTAGGGATACGGTTATCCCTCTCACTATTCACCTTACACCATTAGATAGGCTTCCTCAGTGTATCACTCTGTCCGTTTGTCCGTAGACAAAATGGTTCGTGACTGGGATGAGAGAGCTGAGTGGAAAAGCTTCCTCTTACAAGGGAAGATCACCTATCGGTGTGCAATCTATCTAAAGCTGATTCTTGATGGTTCCCCTCATAATGCTAAATACCGCTTTCTCCCTTCAGAACGTCAGTCTCCCAACAGACGTCAACGTCACGGTGGAAGTACCATTGGCGTGTGTGGAAGAAACACAGTCAGCTATTACCTATGAAAATTTGATAATTCAGTAGCTGTAGGAGAATCAGACTGTTACGAATGATTCTAACCCTCAACGGGAACAAATACTTCAATTGACATGTCCATTCCAAAAAAATCGCTCGAACCCAAGAGTTTCAGCCTCTCTCGATGCCGCTAACTGAGGTCCACGGCAATGCTTAGCCATACAACTACTACTGAACTGTTCTGAGTGTTTATGGCGCCATTTGGGCTATTTCTAGCTCTATGAGCAATTTTTCCACAGCAACGACTCAACAGTAATCCCGATTCGTTGCCTCATAGCCACTAACCAGGCAGCCGAGCAAACAAATCGCCACACCGCAAATTGTCCCTCCAAATCGCCGACGACGGTCATGTTCGATTACGAAATTCTTTCAAGTTCAATCAGTATGCTTGAAAAAGGGGGCGGAAAGTAGTTGTTGAAGGAGGAACGAGGAACGAAGGGGGAGAGGATCAGGTGAATGTTGGAATAGGAATCGTTTAAAGAGATTAAGTGATCAGAAAGTGATAGTTAGAAATGGGTGATGAAAAAAAGGATATGCAACAGTGTCACAGAGGACACCAATACAGAGAGGTCAGAAGATTTGGTTCAAATTTCAAGTTTGCGTTATGAGAGTATGTGCGAACCACTGAATTGAAAAAAAATCGAATCGATTGCGACTCTCAGCTTTTTCAACCATGAAAGGACCACTATATTGAGCCTTTCCAACAAGCACCTGTGGAGAGAAACAGTAGCCACTTATGACTCTTATGATAAATGCATAGTATATTGGTATTTATTTCTTGTCGATGAGAAGCTAGAAAAAGTACCGGCTTCTTTTACCCGTCCGTTTACTTGATTTATTCAACTTTTGCCCCTCATGGTTTGAAATTTAAATAGGGAAATTTTAATAAGAAGACTTTGTAATGAATAGAGAACACTTGGGTGGGAACTGATAGGAGACCCGCTCGCGACCAAAATTTTTCGTTTTAATATTCACTATTTTCTCCTCTTACTATGAGAGATCTTGAAACCCAAACCCAAGCCCCGCAAAGGAGAGCGCTTCCAATTATCTCGGAGCCCTACCGCACTAATCTTGCCTCCTAACAAAGATGAACAATAGGTAGTATCGTATTGCAGACTGAACTTCAGTAATATGTGGAGGGTATGGGCAGATTTGATATCAAGCTCCAAAAAAAGCCCATTACATCCGCAACACTTAAACACTGCTTCCGTTCTCATTTCCTCATACCCTTTCCCTTCTCATCTCCTCCACCGAAGTACTAATAACCGTTTTTCAAACGAGCTCCCGTAAGCAATCTCCAGGCAGCCACGAGAAGCGATTCTGAGTAGGACTCCAAAGTGTTCAGAAACAGTCCAAGTCGAATCCCCATTTTTCTTGGAAAATCCCTACATGAATCATGAGGAAGGGAAGGTTGGAAAACTCCAAAAAGAGGTAGGAGAAAAAAGACAAGAAAGAAGAAAGAGAGCAGCACCGTAACAAAGGTATGATGCCAAAATTAATGGTGCTTACTTATGAAGTTGAAAGTCGGTGTATNAAACTGTAGGAGTGTCTGTGAGTCATGGAATGAAATGCGTAGTAGATTGAAA